TATTTCCCTGTGATAGTAAATTTTGACTTTTTATTTTTATGAAACACATCAATTTAATAGACCATGTATTAAAACTGTCATAATAATTTTTTAAAAAATTAAACCATACACGTAATGCACATGATGAAAATGCCATATATGAATAAATCAATTCATAATCCAGTCACAATAACAAAGTAACAAACGATGATAATATCCATAATGCCTAATAAAAATACTACATAATACAAAAACTACATTACTGCATATATCAGACCCCCTGTTCCTACACTGCCTCTTGTACTATAGTCTCGTTTGTGCCTCTTTTAGGATGACATCTATAATGTACCTCACATCAGAGCCTTTCAGAAAGACTCATCTGTCTATACCTACCTTCGCAAGGTCCATGATACGTCGACATCTAGGCAACACATCAACAACATAATCTGCCCTAAATTGCTTTCCTCTAATATTTTCTGATGAGCTGACCTAGGTGGATCTCCCAGAGCATCCAGTTGTTGGGTGAAAATATGGAATTAGAAAAATGGTCTATAGGAGGGGGACCATTTTTTCAAAAATAAAATATCATATGTTTTTCAAAAGTGCGCGCTAAAGGTTTGAAATGAAAATATGAAAATTATGCTTTTATTAAAACTTGATCACATTAACGCTTAATCAATCTACAAATACCAATTTATGGTTTTGTGATGACACATAAAATTAATCAATTGATTCAGTTGCATATTCCACGAGATGTGTTTATACAACAATTCAATATCAATGAATTCTAATCTTAATTATTTCTCATAATTTAATCACCAATTCAGCTCGATTAGGCACCAATTCTAACAAAACCTAGTCTTACGCAATAAATTGCTACCAATGAATAAACAATAAACTATAGTAAAATTGAAATACTTAAGCATGCAAAAATCTTACGAAAATAAAATGCAAGAGTAAATGAGAGAGAGTACACTGAAATGTCTAGTGCTTCGATGTTTGTCCTCGCTTTGCCTACGTGCACTCTTCAATGGTTTCCAATTGGAACCTGCACTGTTCCTTTTATTTTGACAAATATTGCAAGATTTCATACAATAACCAATCCAAAATAATATTTAGAAAAATAAAATCTCTTATCTGGATCTTGACTTGTGTACAACATAATGCCAAGCTTTTATGCGTAATCTTTACTTCATTAACGCTTCTTGAATCTTCCAATATCACCAATTTTCTCCAAGCCTTCATATGTAGAAATCACCCCTTGATCCTACTGATTCCTGGAGCAATGAATTATTTGAAGATTTGAGAATAACTCCACCTTGTCCATAGCCTTCTACACACTCACTGCCAAGGAAATCTTGAGAGAAGAACCTCTTTCTTTTCATTGTAATTTGTCAGCACCAATGATAACAACTTCAATATTGCAAGCTACTTGAAAATATCAACCATATATTCAAGAATGATATCAAGATGGTGTATCATTCCATCAATTATAAATATCTCATGATTAAGATCTGAAATTAGACTGAAGTTGAAGATGCAAGAATTACAATGCAAGAGTTTTTGAACTTTCAAAAGTGAGAGGATGTTGGTTTCAAAGAAAATCACAATTTTGATTATGATATTCACTCATGAAAAATGATGACAAAATGATTTTATATGTGCTTGAGATTAAGCACAAAAATGTATGAAAAAAGTTAATTAGATTCAAATTAAGAACATTTCAAGATTTAAGTCAAATGAGCAAGTGGAGTGAAGTAAGAAGGAGAAGTGATTTTGACTCATTTCTCATCTGATTTGAATAAAATAGCCCGTGATTCGAATTAAGTTAAAAAATGATTCAAATTAATACAAACAGAGTCAAATGAGAAATGAGGAAAAACGTGTCTGATTCGAATCAGGTGTAAAGTCTGTTTCGAATCAAATAAACCAGAGGTGACCCAAATCAGTGTGATTCGAATTAAGTGCAACAAGTGATTCGAATCACATAGCTGTCTGATTCGAATCAAGTAAAAAATCTGATTCGAGTAAGAGAGTTGAAAATTTTAGATTTTCCTCTGTTCAAATTGATTTGAGTCAGGATATATACTACTTGATTTGAATAAAGTACACAAAATCTCAATTTTTTATGATTTTCAAAATACTTCGAGATTTTTTCCACCTAACTTGAATAAATAACGCACATGATTCTTATTCCACTGACTCATGCAATTGAATAAAAGCATCATGATCAAGTTGAAACATAACTATTGGTTTATGCATACTAAAAACAAATCGTTTAGAATCTTGATTAAGAGAGGATGTGTAATTATGAAGGATACTCAATAAAGAAAGTATATGAAAATGAAAGAAAACTAAAGCAATAAGATAAGAATAAAACCACCGTATTAGGGTACTTCCTCTAAATGTATTAGGGACATGTAACTACACCAGTGTCATATAAGGATGTGACACCCTGAAATGCCATTGAATGCAATTGTATGCAGTGTTCCAATTGCTAAGAGTTAGGCTACTTCGTGTTTCATCTGGTACCATATGATTAAGGTAATAATCATACATGACATTTACATGTCTGCGATCTATACGAGGAGTTGAATAAGAGGGGTCTCTATAAACAAACTACATGTAGTCAAATTGACACACGACGCGCTCAGAAAAATATGGATACATCAGATGTGACTCACAAGTCAACCATCAAGAGTATAAGGCTATGTCACTCAAGGGACGTGTCTGACAGTGATCTATGTATGTTTGGAAGTGTATATCATATGTTACCATGCAGTCAAGATACACTCTTAAGAACTCTGTCGCTTGATTCCCTCTGAGTGGGATGAATACAGAAGCACGCGACATATCCTTAGTGCAGGTCGGAACATATGACTAGTCGAATATGTGCGGGAAGTGCTGGAGGATCCAAGCCTAAAAATGGTGCATATGAATTATTGGTAATGTCTTAGCACGAGTGTTATGAAAATGATACACAAACAGTAAATGGTAAAATATATTACTGTTAATAGTATGAAACTAGATGCCATTTAGTTGGTCTTTCACATGCAACCTTCGGTTAACTTGGAGTACATGTAGATAAAAAAGAAACCCCCCTTAGTTGTGCTCATGACTCCCCTCCAAGTCAGCGAAGTATCTCAGGTAAAACACATGTGCATAAGTGACATTCCCCCCCCACAAAGATGGACGTGCTAACTAAGTACAACGAGCATGTTCTCGATGCATATGCTCTATACTTCATAACCTGCTTATCATCACCAGTGGTCTGCTATGCTGTTGTATCTATTATACACACAACCTCTTCAGGAACTGAATCCTAGCATGACACCCTTGGGTGTCTTTTATCTACTTTAGGGCAAGCCTTGGATCAGATCCCAAATAAGTCACCATAATCTCTACTGCCTTATCTATGATAATCTTGTAATGGTCTAATAGTCTCCCCCCTGATTGGAAGATACAATAGGCATGAAACATCGTCTCATGTGATGGACATCTCACCATGTCAAAGATGAAAAGATAACATCTTAGAGTGCCATCTCTCAAAGAATGTGGACAAAATACCATGGTTGATTGTAATATAACCCGTCTTGCATAAGTCTCACAACCCAGATAACTATGTTACATCTTAAAACCACTACTCAATAGGTTACGGAAGACTCACAATCTTCCAATCATGGTTGATGTATTTTAAAGCATCACAGTCCTACAGAGAAATAAATAAACGTTAAAAACATCGAATATTATGACACATGTGTTTCAAATAATAAATACATATGAATTTTACGTCTCCGTCCTACATATGCATGGCAGCATGGTCCGAATATAAAGGCGTCAATGATAAGTCGGATGAACCTCCTCCAAACCCCTGAGGTGCATGTATAAAGTGCCTCAATACACACTGATAAGGCTTTATGGGCATTATGAGGTGAGACATGTCTCCTCCGCGAAGACGTAGATGGAGATGCATGAGCTTCATAAGTTGAAGCCTCTCCATCAACCAAACTAGAACCGACCAGTGACTCTAGGGAGAGTCATATTTTTCCCTCCAAAATGATGCATGCTGTGAAACTCTGTCGTGCCTCAATCTAGTATAATTATCAGCCATAATGCCTATAATTAAACCACACAAATATTATACATATGAAACTCATTTCCGTAATATTTTGCAACTTAGAGAAGAATAAAAAATAACAAAAATTAATTTGAATCCAACATCCAAAAAATACAAAGTTCATTTAAACTTCATATCAAACACATTGTTCAAGTGAATAACATATCTAAACTATCTATTACACAATTTAATGCTCAACTTCTACAAATATTTAGAGAAATAAAAAATGTATAGAAAAATAAAAAATTTACTAAATGTGAATTTGATGTTGAACTATTTGATTGATTGGTTGGTGAAGACAGAAACTTGGAATGAGTTGAGAGAGGTTGAGAGTTTGAGAGAATTTGAGAGTTTGAGTGAGTAAAATGAAATAAGAAAGAAGAAGAGAGTTTGACGCGGTTTTGATTAAAAATATGTTTGTAAATGTATTTCATTAAATTATACGGATATGCATTTCCTTATTAGTTTTTAACATAAAATTGAAGTCTGACTCAAAAATAAATAAGTTGTGTGTAAATAGCATAAATTGTGTGTAAATAGAATAAATTGTGTGTAAATAAATAAGATGATCTTGAGATGGCTTTTCGAATTCTAAAAATAATTTTAATTTTTTACTAAATTATGAAAGCAAGTCTTCAGATGCGAAAATAGTTTTAGAATTTTAATTTTTCACTAAATTATGAAAGCAAGTCTTCAGACGAGAAAATAATCCCTAAAACTATAGCAAAATAAAATACTATTTTTTTTGTTATAATAAACTATTTAATTATTATTTATTTAAAAAAAACTAAAATATATAATACTAAAAATTAATCTGTAAAAAAAAAACTAAGTTCCCTTGACCCAAATAATTAGTGCGCGACTGCGAACCAATTTTTCCAGAAGAATCATTGTTTCTCATGTTATGTTATACTCACCAGTACTACCTTCCAAAATCCTCAATCTCCACGAAAAACAGTTACAACGATCATTCAAATCTTGTTCTAAACTATTTCATTCACTCAAACAACATGAACACAACCTGTTCGACAATATTCCCCACCCAAATCCTTCTTCAGTTAACCGTTACATGCTTAACCTCTTGCACAACAATCTCCCCTTTCAAGCTCTTGCCATATTCAAGAAACACTCCCAGTTTCATTTTCTTCAAAATTTCGATGAGGTAACATTTGCATTGTCATTCAAGGCTTGTCGGGGAGAGTTTAATTTGGGTTCCCAAATTCATGGATTCGCGGTATCTACCGGGTTTGTTTCCCGTGTTACCGTGTCAAACTCGCTCATGAAATTGTATTGCAAAGCTGGGAAATTCGAATGTGCTTTGCGTGTTTTTGAGAATTTGAGTTGTCCCGATATTGTTTCTTGGAATACTATTCTTTCTGGGTTTGAGAAGAGTGTTGAAGCTTTGAATTTTGCGTGTTTTATGCATTTAAATGGGATAGTTTTTGATCCTGTGACGTATACTACTGCGCTTTCGTTTTGTTGGGATAGGAATCAGGATGATCATGGGTTTTTATTTGGGTTGCAGTTGCATTCTCTTGTGGTTAAATGTGGATTTGGTTGTGAAGTTTTTATTGGGAATGCGCTTGTGACAATGTATTCGAGGTGGGGGGAATTAGATGAGGCTGGGAGAGTTTTTGATGAAATGCCTATAAGAGATTTGGTTTCTTGGAATGCGATGCTTTCTGGGTATGCTCAAGAGGGAGAGTGTTATGGGTTGGAAGCTGTTTTGTTGTTTGTCAACATGGTGAGGCAAGGTATGTTGCTTGACCATGTTTCGTTTACGGGTGCGGTTTCCGCTTGTGGTTATATTAGAAACTTGGAGTTAGGAAAGCAGATTCATGGTTTGGCTCAAAAGTTAGGTTATGGAACACATGTTGCAGTTTGCAATGTTTTGATTTCGACTTATTCGAAATGTAAGGTTCTTAGAGATGCTAAGGCGGTTTTTCAGTCCATGAGTAATCGAAATGTAGTGTCTTGGACGACCATGATTTCTATTGATGAAGAGAATGTGGTGTCTCACTTTAATGCTATGAGAGTTGATGATGTGTATCCAAATGATGTTACGTTTATAGGATTATTGCATGGTATAACAACCTGGAATATGATGATAGAAGGTCTAATGGTTCATGGGTTATGCATAAAAAGCTGTTTTTCATCCGAACAAAATGTCTCCAATAGCCTTATTACCATGTATGCCAAGTTTGAATCCGTTCAAGAATCAAAGAAGATTTTTGAGGAGCTTAGCTATCAAGGAACAATATCATGGAATGCATTGATTTCAGGGTATGCTCAAAATGGCTTGTGTAAAGAAACTTTCATTACATTTTTGTCTGCAATAAAGGAGATTAAGCCTAACCAATATACATTTGGTAGTGTGTTAAATGCCATTGCCGCAGCTGAGGATATTTCTTTGAAACACGGGCAACGATGTCATTCTCACTTGATCAAACTTGGATTAAACACTGACCCATTTGTTGCAGGGGCTCTGCTTGATATGTATGGTAAACGCGGAAACATTAGCGAATCTCAAAGAGTATTTGACGAGACACGTGAAAAAACCCAGTTTTCTTGGACAGGGATGATATCTGCCTATGCCCGCCATGGAGACTATGAGTCAGTAATGAGTTTATTTAAGGAAATGGAAAGGGAAGGAAGCAATCCTGACTCCATCACTTTCCTTTCTGTTTTGGCTGCATGTTGTAGAAAGGGAATGGTTGATATAGGCCATCAAATATTTGACTCTATGGTGATAAAACATTCACTTGAACCATCCCCTGAGCATTATTCAGTTATGGTGGACATGTTGGGCCGTGTGGGTCGGCTAGATGAGGCAGAAAAGTTGATGCATCAGATTCCAGGAGGACCTGGACTGTCAGTGTTGCAAAGCTTGCTTGGGTCTTGTAGATTACATGGGAATGTGGAGATGGCAGAGAGGGTTGTTGATAGTTTGATACTAAAGGACCCTGCAAGTTCCGGTCCTTATGTGTTAATGGCAAATTTGTATGCCGAGAAAGGAAAGTGGGACAAAGTTGCTGAAGTGCGAAAAAGGATGAGAGGGAGGGGAGTAAAGAAGGAAGTGGGATTTAGTTGGGTGGATGTTGCTAATGTTGATTCCTTGCATTTGCATGGTTTCTCATCCGGGGATAAGTCACACCCAGAGTCTGAAACTATTTGTAGAATGGCAGAGTTTTTGGGATTGCAAATGATATTTTCAAAACAGAGTAGAGTGAACGAAGGTGATTGGGATCGAGAGTTTGAATAGACGAGTCATGGATAGCTTACTTGATTGTGCTCATTCAAAAGAAACTAATGTTTGCTCCATTCAAAAGAGAGTATGGGAAAGGGGATGGGGACTTTGTTGAAAGAATTCCTTCAAAGCCCTTATCTTTTACATTTTGGAGTTTCCCCCAGTTTGACGGGGTTACTATGGTTGTGTAGCCTCATTTCATTCAAACACAATTTTGCAATTTAGTTCAGAGTTGTAATCCCCACTCTCTGCCCGGCCTTTTCCTCTCTCGAGTTACATATTTTTTCCATCAGCACAGATATTTGTTAATAGCTTGCTTTGATTCTGGTATTTCTTCATTCTGTCTTTTTGAATCATTTCATTCAGGTCTTTTATTTGTCTTTCTGCTTTGAATCATTCAGTAGTCCAGTAATTTTTAATGTTTTTTTTTTGTTGTTTGTTTGCTTGTTTGTGTTCATTCATGGTTGATTTGTAATGAGTTTGTGGAATTTTATATGTTTTTTATTTTTAAACTTTTGTTTTTCAGATTATGGTCTTGAGTATGCTTATGGAGCACACGAGTATTCATCAACAGAGATATTTGAAGGGTAAATTAAGAGATGTGAAGGGTTTAGATTTACAAAGACAATTTTGATTGGAAAAACAGTTAAGGGAGTTGGTGAAGTAGGGTGCGATGGAAGAATTTGCTGCTGAGTGCAGAAGAAATGCTTACAATCTCATTACAAAAATTGTAGCCATTATTGTGAGTTGTGACGATGCTTGTGTTAAACTCATTAAATTCTATTCCAAGTTTGGGAGTTTTATATGAGGGAAAAAAGGGATGATGACTTTGTTTAAAGAATTCCTTCTAAGCTCTTTTCTTTTGCATTTTGGAGTTTCCCAAATGAGGGGGTTTTGGAAGAAGAATAAAGATTAACATGTAGTACTCTCATTTAATTCAATCTGGTCTACCTGTCCGCTTTGACTTATTTAGGTATATCTCTGTTCTGTCTTTTTGACTGTCTTCATTAATACTGAATCTGGTCTAGCTATCCACTTTGAATCATTCCATTCAGGTACTTTGTCTGTGTTTCTGCTTTGAATCGTTCAGCAATCTAGCAAATTTTACATGTATTTTTGTTGCTTGTTTGGGTTCATGGTTGATTCGTGTGAGTTCATGGTCTGTTTCCTCTGTTCTTTCCAACTACTTCTCACTGTCGGTTTTCCGAAATCCCTTTTTGAAGAGATGTAGTAGTTGTTTTCAGTAATGTGCCTTTGTCTATGTCTTTAAAAAGATTAAGTTGGTTTGTACTTAAATGTAACGAGTTTCCATTTCCTTGTACAAGAACATGTGCAGTAGTTAGTTAAACCAATTGTATCAGCTAGTTAGTTTTCGTGCCTACTGTCATGATAGCTTGTAAAAGTAGCTTGCATGGCAAGCTACAGTTTGTAAATGTTAGTTAATGCCAACTCAGATTTCGGTGCAGGTTAGCTTTAGTGTGTGGTCAGCCACATATAGCTGAACGACCTCCTTGTAAGTTTCAACTAACTCAAACCCCTTTCTCTTAAATCTAATACCTTGTTCTATTATTTCTTTCTAAATTGTTATAAGCTTTAGAAGCTGCAAGCATCTTGCAAGAGCATCAAAGTTCTAATACCTTGTCCTACTTTCTCAGTACAATTACAGCTCCTGGGTATAAAGATCCGTACAATTTTGGTAACTGAGGCTGAAGAAGAAAAACTGTTTCTATTTTCCCTTTCCTTTTTCATATCTGAAATCCTATTTCTTAGTATTGTTCTGTGGTTCAGTTGATTAAATTAATGCATCTCAGTCAAAAGTGCAAACATCACAGTTTTTTCTCCCCTCTTTTGAAGGTAGTGAGTAGTTAACGGTCTATTATTGCAATATAAATCATTTGAGGAGATTAATAATTTGAACTACAATATTAATGTTTGCTATGTCGGTCTTATTGTCTTGACTTATAGATGATTTGTAAGCCAAACTTATTTTGGTGATGTGAACATTGAAGTAGTGGTTCTAATGGACTTGTTGAGCGTCTCACATTATCAATATTTGTCCTTTGATGATCAGTTTTACTGGGGTAACACTCCAAAGTTACCAGAATATTTTTCCAACCAGTTTATGTTAATCTGAAAAGTTTATTAGGGTTTTAACTTTAAAACTTCTAATATGCTTGTGTGATTGTACAGTTATTGGAATTGAAAAGCATAGCAGAGTAGCTAGATCAAAAGGGTAAGAAAGCCATGGCTAATTATCAGAGTCACCATGTATGTGAATCAGTGTTATCTATGGCGGATCACAGAAAGCCATTTTTAGTCGCCATCCTTCACAATCTGCCATAACAGATGTCAAAAACTCCGCCACTGCAATCCGTCATGGCTGATATTTGACAACACTGAAGTGAGCCAAGTAATAAAAAGTCAGGCTCAATGCCATTAAGATTGACTATTTTCGTCTGAAAGCTTTGGCTATTGAATGAGTTGGGAAAAATGGAAACAACTGATGTGATTTGGTGTTATTTGTTAGTAATAATTCTATGAGTGTTACTATTTTTAAAGGTAACTATTAAGATATCGTGCTTCCGCACGAGTAAGATCATTTGATACGGTATAAAATATATTTAAATGTATATGTAAATTTGATACGATATAAAATTATTTGATACGGTATAAAATATATTTAAATGTATATGCAAATTTGATACGATATAAAATGTATTTATATATGTATTTAAAGTTGAAATTAATATTAATTTAAAAATGAGCAATGATTATGTAAACTCAATTAAATTAAAATATAAAGAAAAAATGGAACGGAGAGATAAAAATAAAATTTAATATTTAAAAATAATGATTGTCTTTTAAATTAAGATAATTATTGATTAAAATGAAATATGTATTGTGTTTATAATGATTTGTGAAATAAAAAATTTATTTGATATGATATAAAATGTAATTATATACCAATGTAAAATTGAAATTTGTTATTTAATTGTAAAATAAAAAATAATTATACAATTTTAATTGTATTAAATATGATGAAAAAAGAAAGAAAAAATAAATATGTTTGTGGTTCTTCTAAATATCTCAATTTTCGATTTTATTTCTCAAAATATTTCCTTCAAAGAATAGTCCTCCTATAATTTTTTGGGATTGCAAATGATATTTTCAAAACAGAGTAGAGTGAACGAAGGTGATTGGGATTGAGAGTTTGAACAGATGAGTCATGGATAGCTTACTTGATTGTGCTCATTCAAAAGAAACTAATGTTTGCTCCATTCAAAAGAGAGTATTGGAAAGGGGATGGGGACTTTGTTGAAAGAATTCCTTCAAAGCCCTTATCTTTTACATTTTGGAGTTTCCCCAGTTTGACGGGGTTACTATGGTTGTGTAGCCTCATTTCATTCAAAAACCAAAGTTACAATTTTGCAATTTAGTTCAGAGTTGTAATCCTCACTCTCTGCCCAACCTTTTCCTCTCTCGAGTTACATATTTTTTCCATCAGCACAAATATTTGTTGATAGCTTGCTTTGATTCTGGTATTTCTTCATTCTGTCTTTTTGAATCATTTCATTCAGGTCTTTTGTTTGTCTTTCTGCTTTGAATCATTCAGTAGTCCAGTAATTTTAAATGTTTTTTTTTTGTTGTTTGTTTGTTTGTGTTCATTCATGGTTGATTTGTAATGAGTTTGTGGAATTTTATATGTTTTTTATTTTTAAACTTTTGTTTTTCAAATTATGGTCTTGAGTATGTTTATGGAGCACATGAGTATTCATCAACAGGGATATTTGAAGGGTAACCTAAGAGATGTGAAGGGTTTAGATTTACAAAGACAATTTTGATTGGAAAAACAGATAAGGGAGTTGGTGAAGTAGGGTGCGATGGAAGAATTTACTGCTGAGTGCAGAAGAAATGCTTACAATCTCATTACAAAAATTGTAGCCATTGTTGTGAGTTGTGACGATGCTTGTGTTAAACTCATTAAATTCTATTCCAAGTTTGGGAGTTTTATATAAGGAGGGAAAAAAGGGATGATGACTTTGTTTAAAGAATTCCTTCTAAGCTCTTTTGCATTTTGGAGTTTCCCAAATGAGGGTTTTTTGGAAGAAGAATAAAGATTAACATGTAGTACTCATTTAATTCAATCTGGTCTACCTGTCCGCTTTGACTTATTTAGGTATATCTCTGTTCTGTCTTTTTGATTTCCTGTCTTCATTGATACTGAATCTGGTCTAGCCATCCACTTTGAATCATTCCATTCAGGTACTTTGTCTGTGTTTCTGCTTTGAATCGTTCAGCAATCTGGCAAATTGTAAATATATTTTTGCTGCTTGTTTGGGTTCATGGTTGATTCATGTGAGTTCATGGTCTGTTTCCTCTGTTCTTTCCAACTACTTCTTGTTGGAAATTCAACTCACACCCTATGAAGAATTCCCTTCAATCTTGATCTCAATATTGATGAACAAACCCACAATATGATAGTAATGGTAATAACAAGGAATTTATCAAGAACAACAAAAGAGAAGAAGAATAACAAACAAGAAAGAGAAGAATTAGAGAAGAAATATTTGGAGAAAATTGTTACCCACAACTGTGGGATTTCTTATTGCTTATAGAACTTTCACTTGCTAAACACTGCAACTGTGAAATCTATTCTATGTTGTGTTGTCTAGAATACATAGCAAGGCACCCTATTTATAGTTTTAGGTTTACAAAAGCCCAAAACATAAAAGACCCAAAATATTCAAATCAAATCTGTTTACACTATGAATTATATTTAACACACCACCTAATTCATTGTGTCTAAACTCTCTACATTCATCATGGCTCTTAGTCTTCTGAAGGCTTCGACCTGCACTCCCTTCGTCATGATATCTGCAATCTGATTCTCAATTCTGCAGTGTTCCAACTTCATCTTCCCTTCTTCTACCTGCTCTCGAAGATAATGGAACCTCATTTCGATGTGCTTGCTTAAGTCCATACATGGCTTTATGAAGCCTGTACACCTTTCTTTC